TGCCGCTTGGGATACGCCGGGACGTGGAGCCACGTCGTTGGAGATATAGCGTCCAGCGACAGTACCAGCAGGCACACAAGCTAGCCAACGAGGCGCTGCGCGATGCGATCGAAGGGAGATCAGATCAACACAAAGAAGATGTGAGCCTACATGACATAAAGACAGGAGATCGAGTATGGCTATATCTAGATCGAGTTAAGGAAGGCTACACTCGTAATATCGCACTTAAGTGGCATGGACCATTTAGAGTTGCGGAGACAGTCGATTGGCACGCGCTACAGCGGCACAGAGTACCGACTGTTCCCGATCGTCCATGTATGAAAGCTGAAGCTAGTGAAGAGCTACCCAGACTGCCCGACATCTACGCTGACGAACCGTGAAGCAGATCGCGTAGACTTTGACGAATGCTTGCTGCCCGAAGACAGCTAGGAGCGCGAGCTCGATGAAGACGAGAACGAAGCGGAGGAGGTCGCTGGTGAGCGCTCGAGCAAGAAGACTCGATACGGCCGCACGCTACGCGAGTACCTGGGCTACGCCGAGCCGTCGTGGGTCGACGAGACTGACCTCAAGTATGGAGCGTAGCTGAGAGATTTCAAGCGGGGGAGGACAGATCGCTACCATTTCGAAGCAATGCCGTCGCATGAGGAGTGAGCGGTGGGAACATCAGTGATGGAGAGGTTATTGCAGAGAAGTCAGCGGAAGAAGAACTTCCAGGAAGGCGGTATGTTTCGGGAGGAAATGGTACATGTGGAGTGTGGTGGGCCTGAATAGGCCGGAAAACTTAGGCACTACGCTTCGGAAGATTCTGGAGAAAGAAAAAAAGATACGAATGGATTAGATTGGATTAGATCCTCTCGACGAATGCTGTAAAACTACGGAGCTGCTGCCTGACATACAATGACATGGAACGATCAAGAAGAGGAATGCGTGAGCTTGCTAGACAGACGAACGATCTCAAGAGCCAGGTGGTCAGCCGGTAATACCAGCCTCGTCTTAGAGAGGGAAATGCAGGAAGAATGGATCCAGCAACAGGTCGAGGTTACAGTAGCCCCGGAGCATACCGATCAGCACTTGTTGGAAAAACGATTTACACCGGCTCTGGATCGACACTGCTTGCGGTCGGTGTAGAATGCTTCCAAGTATCGATAGTCGCGACGCTTGGCGATGCTCACCGGGAAGGCGTGCGTGGAGCGCAAATCAGCCCGAAGTTGCTCATCTTCATAAGTCGCGATGAGTGGCATCATGTGTCCGAACCAACCCCAACAAACGTCAGGGGATTGACCCTAGCAGCGAGGACTTCCCATGGAGTAAACTCGATCAAGTCGCGTACGTTGCTCTCGTCCACTCGATCATCTCGCCGGCCCGACCATCAGAAATCTCCCAAATTAATTCATCGTTTTGGACTACCAAGCTGTCCCTCTCTTGTCGAACTATCGCGGGCGTGGTCTCAAGGTCTTGACACGACATCTTCGATTTTTCTACCTGATTATTCCGCTTCTCCAGTCGGGCGATGGAGTCCCGAGCCTCTGAAACACGATCCTCTGTGGGCCAAGAAACG